GCGGCGGATGTCTTGATTCTGGCTTGTGTTGCCGGACTACTCCAACTCGGCCAGTTCGTTGATTTTATACTCGGGGGCAACATGCATGGTGTCTACGTGGCTGAGGCTGAATTGCTGTGGCCGCTATTCGTACTGGTGATTTCCGCAGTGTGGCAGTGGCTGCTTGCTGCCGAGTACGTCTTTGGCTTGACGCAGCGTATGCGACGATGTATTGCTGCGCCGAAATCGCAAGTGGACTCTGTAGCAGTGTGATAAAAGGACTTTTTTTGCTCTATTTTTATACTGTAAATGTTTTTCTTTGTTCGTTTTTAAATTCAACTCATATATTGCAATCGGCAATCGATAATGGGAATTTTTTAAAAATGCTATTCTCTATTCACCACCTATTTGGAACGTTTTTGGTGGTACCGCCACGACGTGGGGGGGGTCGCCGAAACTAAGAGTGAATTGTAAGAGCCGTTTTAAGTCGGTGTAAACTGGGAAGGAATCAGCCGGCGAAGGACTCTCGTTTCCCCCTTTCCGTGTGCCCTAACTCACAAGCGGGCTCCTAAAGGGCGGACTAACTGGAGCGAAATACCCTGTGTGCCACTGAAGAAGCGCAGCACCAAAGAAAAGTAAAGACCCTTTTCTTTTCGTTACGGCTGGCTGTGTCTTGGTGGCCCGAAAACCGCTGTTCTACTCTATTTCTTAGCAACTTTTGGTGTTGTGCTCTCACTCGCGCACTCTGCTATAAAGTTGGCCCGGGATGCCTATCGTTGCCTTTCTATTTTGTTTTTGTCTCTGCAGGAAACAATAAAGGTGCAGGAGACTCGAGGAGGAAAGGAATGCATGGGCGCCGCGTGCCAAGGCGCGTGTTTATTTGCTTGTTGTGACCGCTGCTGGTGGTGCCAGTGCTATGTCCATTGTGCGCAACACGAGGTCGCTTACCGATGCCGGTTGCGAGCGCTGTGGCGCGGTGGAAAGGTGCTGAACTCGCAACTTCCCTCTGGTGGTCGTTTGGTCTGGGTCTTGTTTTGTTTTGCTCTTCAAATCGGGAACACACACCGTGTGTCGTCAAGAGCTGCAGTTTATGGCTTCACCTTACTTTTGTTTGTACAGAGGAGTACGCCCAAGCCACGTGTTGTGCGCTCAAACAAGGTTCCCTGACGCCGTTGTACAAGTTTGAGGAAATTACAGACGTTATACGCTGTTTGCAGACTACTATTTACCCCGTGCCTGATGCTCAATACTGCTCTCTTACAATAGGACTGAATGAAGGTGGGAAAACTACTCTTAAAAACAAAAGACGCTGGGGAAGCCACTCGCTTAATGCAGAGGATTCCACAATTTTGAAAAACGGCTACAGGAAAGGTTTTTTGTTAGGACGAAAAATTGGACGCCAAATATCGGTAAGTGTGCGGACCTTTGGCGTCTACGTAAACCAACTCTACGTGCCGTTTTTCGGGAGTTATCTCTTGTGCGTTTTTTTTTTGCTTGTTGCTGACTCTAATGCTTTCGATAATGCTTTAAAAGAAAGAAAGAAAAAACCGTCGGATAGGGGGGAAACCTGCCGAAAAGTGTTACTAAGGCGTAAGAGGCACATTCTATGCGCCGTGGTAGGGGTGCACAATGCCTAACACTGTTTTTACCTGCCACCACAGAGGCTTCTTGCTGAGTCTGAAGGTGCCTTTCTCCGCTGCATGCTTGTACGCGAAGAATACGATGCAGCTTGCCCCCTTCCTCCCCCAATGGACTCTTGGTCTGTTTCTTGCGGGTTTTGTTTTGCTTTTCTTCCTGGATACACCGTTTCTCCATTCTTGCACCCACTAGGTGCACCAGCGTTCCCCACGAGGAATGGGGCTGTTGCTTTTTCCACCACTGAGAGTCGTTTGGCGTGACGCTAGTCTTTGGCCCCAGTGTTATGTACGCCTGTGAAGTGAGCGATGCAAGGGAGAGGTGAGTGGCTAAAGACTCTACAGTCAGGCAACCTTTTTTTATGTGGGCAACAAAAAAACTTATGCGCTTGAAAATTTAACCACGGTCTAGCGAGCCTTGAGTTTGGATTCTGCCACAATTTTAATGAATATATATATATATATTTTTTCTTTGACAGGCATCACGGCACTTCAGCAGGTGAACCTGGAAAGCAGAACGCATTGACGAGGAGCAGAGTGGGGATTTTCTCAGACTTTCCGCGCTGTGCGTGCTACATTTAGAGTGAAACGTCGTCACAGGAAGGGATTTTGAGGCATTCACCCCACAGATGTGTATCACTCGGTGGCTTTTCTTGAGTGCGTCTTGACACGTGTATCGAGTTGTTCATCGTATTTTTGGGATACAGTGTGCCTGTGTGTTTGTGTGTGCGGAAGGTTGCGGCTCTTGCCATGGTAGAAGGTCATTACGGGTGTGTTGTTTCTTTAACACGGATTTGTACTTTACTGCCTGCAGTTGAATCATTATTATAAATTCTACTGCCAGACAAATGGTTCTTTGCCATTTTCATTTGAAAGCCAATTAATTGATTGAGCGAGCACCCCCCCTATGTGTTATTGTTTACTCCAGCCAAGTTAATGTGTGTTGTTGCGTTTTGCTGCGTGAAGGAAAGGAGACGAGGTTT